CTAAATCTGGTAAAACTACCTCACCTTTTGCTATATACTACACAATCACACCTACTTACACAATATGGCTCAAACTTTCTCAACCAAGCTGAATACATCTAAATTACTTATTTAGCTTTTCCAGCTCCAAAAAACATCTATGCACAAATCACAATTAGACTTATAAAAAGCACCCAACCAGACCCAAAGCATTAATTACCTTTACCAATCATGACACCAGAATCATTATGCAAAACAACAACTGGTCTAGCCTGACCAAAATAGCTATTACCATATTATATATATTAATTACTATTATTCCTAACGATATACATATTTAACTTAATACCAACTCAAAAGCAATACAAAAACTCATACCAACAATCACTAATAAGTCACCAATAGCACTTTTTTATATATATAAAAATGATAATATTGGCTATACAATAGTATTGAGCTTATAAAAAACCTTATAATTAACACAAACTATACCCAATAGCTTGGTATAATACAACCCCAGAACCCAATCCAACAAATAGAGATTGATCTATCACTACTTATTAATAATACTTACCTCTTAAAATTCAAAAACAATCTAACATCGAGAATATAAAAACTACTATCAAACACCTCTGCATACAGCAATTAATATCAATACTTGGTATATGCAAAATGGCATCCAATATTGGCTTCAACTTACCTTGATCCAAAATGGCAACCGATCTTTTAGTATCTGAGGTTCGATGATAAACCACATTAATATAATACTAACCCAAAAATATCACAACTAAAAAATTTTAAATTCAAGATTCTGATGAACGAACTTTCTAATCAACTTAATTGATAATCCAGATAAGATTAGCAGAATTACTATATTGGAACAATAGTAAATTTTGGGGTTAAGTATTATATAAATTTTTATTATATACTGAAATCTGATAATCTTCCAATGATAAGTATTTTTTATTAAGTTAATAGCCAAAGTCAAATAATTGAAAGTTGTAGAGCTCACTGAGATGCATCTAATAGTAGTTATATCGTTCAATTCTGCTTAATAGATACTAAAATATTACTAAAAAACTATTAATTTACTATATAAAATTTTTATAAAATTTTATATAGTAAATTAATAGTTTTTTAGTAATATCTTGGTATCTATTAGGCAGAATTGAACAATATAACTACTATTAGATGCATCTCAGTGAGCTCTACAACTTTCAATTATTTGACTTTGGCTATTAACTTAATAAAAAAATACTTATTATTGGATGATTCTTAGATTTCATCATATAATCAATATTATAGAAATTTTGCTCTAAATTCTAATATAGAAATTCTGCAGATCTTATTTAAATTAGTAATTAATCTATTAAACAGCATCCAAACATCTATACATCACTTTACTGTAAATGTTGCAGTAATGAGATCGAAACTGATACACATTGGCTAACTTGCAATACTAATAATATTTCTCTTTATATATTTATTAACAATACACTAATACAATTCGCCTCTAAGCACAACTTATACCTTATTTATACTAATAATTTCATTCAAAATTTTATCCAAACTCACATTTAGAATCAGACTTCTATTGGCATTATTACAGAAAACATAGTTGTATTTATTCACAACAAAATAATAGTTTCAAGTCTAGCTTCTAAATTGCATTACAATATACTAAAAGAAATATATAAAAAGATCTAGATTCCAAGCAGAATAACAGTAGCAAATAATAATTTAGCACAAATATCAAAAAACAACCCAATAACATTATCATCGTATTTGGCATCTCCAGGCTATTTGACAAGAAGTAAACTATATTTATAAATAAATAAATATATTAGTTTTAACACTTTCCCTTATAATATTTTTATTTCATAGTCTAGAGATCTTTGACCTGCCTAGCTAAGGTTAAGGTCTAAAGTAAAGTAGCTTTATTCTTATTTCTCTAAAAATTTATATAAACTTATATTGTAATTTTTATATAATAAATAATAAAGAAATTGAGAAAAAAATCTCACTTAAAAAAAAAAAAAAAACAAGAATAGCTACCAACTTAACCAAACTAAAACTCAGACCACCCTTCAAAATAAACTATAATGTCTTAATCTCTGACTCTAAATCTCCTATTTCTGTCTTCAAATCTGTACCTGTGTTTTAAGTCTATTTCTTTCTTCTTGCAACCTTTTTATCTGCACTTTGTGTTGGTAATTTAGCGTTTCTGGATCTGAGTTTGCAGGTTTGCAATCTGGTTTTGCAAACCCCAGATTATAAAAAGAACAAACTGGCTATATGCAATGCGTGGTATCTAGATTTAATACAGAAAAAGTTAGAAAAATAGTACTTTTTCCAAAATAGTTATACTTAAAGACAAGAGTATAAAAAAGAAAAAAAAATACAAAGAGAAAAGTATTTATCAAGGCCATGTAGTCAATCATATCAAGTACAAAGAGCTACAAGCTTACTAAGACATGAAAAGCTAGCAGTTGCTCCAAAAAAATAAAGCCAATGAAGTTTAGCACATGACCTGAAAAATATACCTACTTTTAGATGAAAAACAAAAACAAAGACAAAAAAAACAAGAAAATTTAATAGAGCTATTACTAAAAGAAAAAGAAGAAAAAAGTATTAAATAAGAAAGTTTTTAACATAAAGAAACATAAAAAGAAAAATAGAAAAGACAATACAAGAAAAAGAAAACTTGTGTATAAAATTTTGAAAATAAAAAAATAAGATTATAAATAGAATTAAAAACAATAAAAATAATTTTCCCAGGATAAAGAAAATTATTGCATAGTAGAAACAAAGAAAATCACAAACTATAATGATGCGATTTACAAATTTAGACAAAGATAAACAAATTAGAAATAAAAGCTAGATTTAAATATCCTAAAATAGAAGTTTAGTAGATTTTACAAATTTTAAAAAAATGATAGACAAAGAAAATGCTTAAATATATACTAGGCCAAGAATTTTAGCCAAGTATGCCAAGCACTCCCGATTAATACCAAGTTAAAATTTTTGTACATATAGTGCAGGAACCCTTAAATCAGCAAGTCCTAATATATGCGGCCAAATTTTGTCTTGGGTTGGAAGTCAGGTCAGAGCCAATAGAATTGTGGAAAATTAGGCTAATAAAAAAAAAAACAGAACTATTTGTATTTATAATTTGTATTATAGATTTTGTATTGTAATTTATATTGTAATTTGTATCACAAGATTCGTATTGTGATTTGTATGATGATATGTATCAGATTTAGTTTAGTCTATTAACTTGATTACTGCTACTCTAATATATCAGATTTTCAAATAAAAAATTTTTAAAACGATAATGAAATTTGGTATTTATTTTATTAAGCACTATATTAGCAGCTTCTGAATAAACCTTAAATTAGTGAAAACTATAAATTTGAAAAAATTTATACTGAGCTAAGATATATTTCGTATCAGAAAAGTTCTAGAAATAAAATCAGCATACATCAAATATAATGCATGATAATATTATAATGCTTTATTGCATAAGTAATTCCCTATGATTAATTTTTGCTATTGTGATTGCTGAAGCCAGTCAATTTATTATAAATCTGATATTGACAAATTCAGATTCATGATAAATTGGCTGGCTTTAGCAATCGCATTCATAATTACAATTATTTTAATCAATAACACTCAATAAAATATATATATAATCATGTTCAGAAGTTTGATTTAAATAAAGTATTTATTTTAATAAAAAAGAACTAATAACAATGCTAACTATTATAATTTTGGTTATAAATTTATTCAAGTTTATTTGAAATAATAAAATTTTGACTCCAATTTCCAATAACAACTGTGAATATTTCATATTCTTCTTTTCAACCCCAATTCAAATAATATTGATATATATCTGAATATGATTTTAATTTATTAAAAGGCAAAAGGTAAAAATGTAATAAAAAAAAATCAAGTACCGCAGAAATAAAGTTATTACCTACTTATTAATTGTCCAATACATCAATTTCATTTAAAATTGTTTCTGGTACATGGCAATGCGACCGATATTTTTTTACGGCATATTTTGTGGGTTTTCCTGTTAAACCTTTGTGGTATACATTTATATATCTAAAGAACTTCTGGGCATATCGCCTAATTTCAGTGAGAGGCACTGATTCAAGGGCTTGTAGCACAGTTCTCTTCAAACCTTCCCAAGTATAGTCATAGTGATTGCGTGCATATCGCTTTGCTGACCCCCAAAAATTTTCTATATAATTTAACTCACAATGAAACTTTGGATAAAAAATAACTTCATGCCTGCAGAAATAATCACTTTTTTAACTTTTTCATATTGTAATTTAAAATCTGGCTAGTTCGTCATTGTCATCCTAGCACAGCAATTAGTTCTTTCTTGTTCACACCCTCATTACACATTAATCTCATTCTATCTCACCACAATCCACTCTCACTCAATACTTGCTTCAGCTCTTCGGTTTACCACAAAGATCTGGGTCTTTATAATCTTCAAGAAAGCACATGTCTTGTGTGATATTATCTCCATATGTGGTACTTCTATTGATTGATAACATTTAATATTAATACAGTATATTGCTATAAAAATTTAAAATATTTATAGTAATGTACAAACCTCATTTTTGGCTGTTTTCTGCCAGAAGATAAATTCATGTTTTTTGCTAATAGGGCATCTTTGGCATATGCACAATGACCAGTTGCATTATCAAATACAAAAAGTGCTTTTGCACCTAGAAACCTAACTTCAAATATTGGAATTGCGTAGTTTATCACCTGATCTAAAAAATCATTCGAGTTCCACCATCCATCATTATCTTTACCTAGATAAGTTATGATGCATACTTCTGATGGGAGGTCAGGAAAAGCAGCCTAAAAGATTTCAATTAGGGTTTTCTAATTATAAAAATAAATAAATTGATAGAATGTTGCATATATATCTTGTCTTTATCACTAATATAAACTGACCATTCTTGGCCTTTTTTGCAAAGTGGTTGCTCTCCTTTTGGCAGCTACAGCCAACGTTTTCCATTATAAGCTAAAAAAATATACTCATCATGTATTACCAAAATGATAATATCATCAAAATTCAGTTTAGTCTCTTCTTCTATATTTTCACCAAAAAAAATCACCATATGTGCTTCAAATTCTGCCATTCTTTCTAAAAACCTTTCATGATAAGCCACCACATCTGCATACTCGTACCCATCCATATATATTCTTTTTCTAACTTCTGAGTACTCAAATCCAAACATTTTTAGCCACTTGTTAGCTGTCCTCATGCATATAGTTGATGATAGATCAAAGCATAGTCTTGGAAGAACTTTTCATTCACATATTTGGCTAGTTTATATGAATCAACATTCCACTTATTTGATCAAAAAAATGACTTAATCTGAATTAAAACATTGTCATCCCATAGAAAACTCAAAGTTTTTAGATGTTTTCCTTGTCTTGAAATCGGAAATTTGCCATTTTTAGCATAATTTACTGTCTATACACGTATGCAACGAGCATAATAAACACCTTTTCTAGCTGCTTCTATCACAACAATGCTCACCTCAATCCTTTCATGACCACGCTCTACAAGACAAAAATAAAACAGCATTGTATAAAGACATGCCTTTACCACCTCACTATATTTATTACCAATACTTCTAACTTCTTTTTCCAGTTGCTTAATAGTATTGGTCAAGTTTTCTAAGGACATGATATCATAACTTTTAGCAGTTTCAACTTCAGAGTCACTTTCAAAAGTTTTAGAATCACTATCCGAACTGATTGTATCACTTATACTATCACCATCCATATTAATATGTCTATCCACCATCTTTTTAATTAAAGTAATTTAACATTAATTCATATTACATTTATTATATTTTAGCCAGATTTGGTGAAAAATAGCTTACAGGTAACCAAAATATTTATAACTTGGGTGTTCTAGCTGCAGCTTCTCGCTATGTTTGTCTCCATCTTCTTTTTGTTTTTTCTGAGTTTCCAATATACACAAGTGGCCGATGAGTTGTTACTTCTGGAATTGTCTGCATCAACCTTGTAATTATGTTATCCACTTTCTCAGGTCTCAAAATACTTATTTCTCCATCCTCATCATAGTTAAGTTCATCAATACTGTTGTTACAAGCTTCTGAAGCTTCTACCTAATGCCTTCTTTTGGCTTTCTTTTGTACCTGATCTTTCGTAAGTAAACTTTTCCTTTAAATAATCGCACCATTCCAGTAAAATGTTATATTTGACAAATAAGACTGATATAAAGTCGATTGAATTTTTAAATACCAGCCTACACAAACTATATTTTATTTATCCTTTTTTTTTTATTGCTGGAATGAGATTTTATTATATCATTTAAGTGTTATAATACTTAAATAGTATGTGAATTTAATTTTTTTTTTGTAAAATATGAAATGTGATAGTCTTTTACATTATATAGTTTTAGAGATCAATTGCTAATTTAAAAATGTCCATATTACATTCCCAGATAAGTATAGTTTCATTGGTTCTTTTTGATATATTCATATATTCGACTGCTTTTTCTCTTTATTGTTTAACTCAAACTCATTCTTTATCAGATGCTTAATGGGTTAACAACTAGGTCTTCATTAATATAAAGTTTTTGACTTTTCTTATTCATTCATCTTACCCACAACCACATATAGCATTATATAAAGTTTTTTTTTTTTTTTTTCTGCTTGCCTTTTTTTTTAATTCAATTCTAATGGCTCTTTTTCAAAGCTTAAACAATTATAGTTCTGGAGAACCTTCTAAATTTTTATTTTATTTCGTTAAAAAAAAAAGAATCTCTATTAACTTACTATATTTATACAATGCTTGAAACATATTAACGTTAATGCATTATTACAGATTCGGTAATAAGATTATACACAAACTATAATAAACTCACTAAAACAATAGCGATAAAATTCACCTGATATATCGATATGCTTACAATAAACCAACCAATTATCAAACTACTAATTATGCAATTTATTATTATACATTCTGGCCAATAGAATACTTTATTTCTGGTGTCATGTAATTTGCCAAATTTTAATTTAATTAATAAAGTAGGCTAACTTTAAAAAGAAATAACTCTATTAAATACTAATTAATTTAAAAAATAAACTTCATAACTTTGTTTTTTAGGTTTGATTTTATTATTTTATAAAGAGATTTAATTTGTAACTATTTTAGATTTTTATTTATAAGCTTTTAAAGATTATGTATTTATATGTTGATTTAAGAATTCCAACACTATAGTTGTTCTAAAAAGTAAAACCATACAGTAGATAAAGAAAAGCACAAGCAAACATAGAAATTTGCATGTAGGATAACAAAGAGAATTATAATAAACTTAGAAACAAATAGTTGAAGTACAACAAGTTTAGATTTTACAGAGTAAAATCTTAAGAAAAGAAAATGTTATAAAGCAAATTGTAACACAATATAATTTTTTTTTTATATTCTTTAACAGGTTTTGCTATGACTTGAACTCTTAGTTTGTAGTACATATCAACTATATATCTCCCTTAAATTGTTTTGCAGCCAAATTTGCCTGCAAACTTTTTTAAATTTTAAAATTTTTTAATAAAATTTTAAATA